AAAAAAAAAAAAAAAAAAAAAAATGAAAAGAAAAGAAAATCACTGCATAGCCTTTTCAAAATGGCCTCTTTGCTTATTAGTACACATTGAAATTTCCTCCATGTCTCTGATGGATATTTTTCTACTTTTATGATAACACATAAATAATAGAAAATAACATTTTCTTTTATATTAGGGAAACAAACACATACTGATTTGAGATTTGCTGGGGTTTTTCCTCCAGTCACAGCTCAAAAATCCTGCATATTTAGCAGATTTAGAAAGGATCTCTGTTAATTGTGTGAAAGTTGATCATACAAATTGCGTCCTTCTTCTTATACCCACCTAAAACAGAGTTGAAAGAGCTGTGGACACTGGGTGCGGTGGCTCACGCCTGTAATCACAGCACTTTAGGAGGCCAAGGTGGTTGGATTATGAGGTCAGGAGATCAAGACCATCCTGGCCAACATGGAGAAACCCTGTCTCTGCTAAAAATACAAAAATTAGCCAGGTGTGGTGACACACACCTGTAGTACCAGCCACTCAGGAGGTTGAGGCAGGAAAATCACTTGAACCCGGGAGGCAGAGGTTGTGGTGAGCCGAGATCACGCCACTGCACACTCCAGCCTGGGCCACAGAGGGAGACTCCGTCAAAAAAAAAAAAAATTATATATATATATACTCCCTCCATTTGGGATTCAGAGCACCCTTTGTTCCATCTGTGAATGCTGTAGTATCGTGCCTTTTCAAAATAGCATTCCTTTTGTTGTTCTCTTTCTGAGCTTGATGTCAGATTACTAAAAAGAAGTGAATATAAAGAAATGAGGCCGGGCGTAGTGGCTCACACCTGTAATCCAAGCACTTTGGAGGCCAAGGCGGGCGGATCACCTGAGGTCGGGAGTTCAAGACCAGCCTGACCAACATGGTGAAACCCCGTCTTAAAAAAGAAAAAAAGAAAAAGAAATGGAGGAAGTAAGATTAAATGGATACAAGTGTTGCTTAGTAAATTGGACATAATATTTGACTATACAGGCAGGAGAGTTATTTTCTATGGGACCCAGAAACAGGGATCTACTTCTGTGCCGCTGCTACGGGTTGCCTCCGCATCCCACCTTCTTCTTCTTCGTCATGAACCTGTGTGGAGTATTTTTTTCTTGTCCGTAACCAAACATACAGAGACAGAAAACTCCAGTGCTTGAGTGCATGCGTTTGAATTGCAACATAATCATTTTTATTTGCTTTCTCGACCAGTGGATATATTTTGTGACTGAATGACTGTAAGGATGTGCATTTGGAGCAACGGCCTCTGGGAACTCGCGAAAACAAGTAAATACAGACAGCAATCGGAAGAAGCCTGGGTACGGCTCCTTTAAGAAAGAGCAAACCCCCGCCTCCGCTCGGAACCAGGAGTTGCAATTTCCCAGCGCCCCCAGCAGCGGTTTGGCCTTCACTTCCGGAAGGAGGCGGCGGCGACCTCACTCTCTCGCCGTGCGCCTGCGGGAGCTACAACATTTCCCAGAATGACCTGCGTTGGGCGACGGCGACCTCCAGCCAATGAGGCCTCAGAACGGTGGCGTTTCCGTAAGCGCAAGCGCAGTCGCGCCGGGATTTCGGTGGTCGTCGTCGTCGTGGCGGTTGTTTTGGCGTTTGTCCGGATTGCTAGCGCCGGAGCGCTGGGTCAGCATCATTGGTGACTGAGAAGGCGCGAGAGGAGTCTTTCCCGCTGCACTGAGGCGAGGCGTCGCTCGGGTTGCCCCGGCTCAGCCCAGAATAGAGAGCCAATCTCTGGCCCCGCTCGGCCCGTAGAGTCCGATGGCCGCTGCCGCGCTGACGGCCCCGGCCCTGGTGAGTGCTGCGTCCTCCGGGCCTTCCCCGCCCTCCCCATCCGAGTCCTAACACCCCGAGGACACCTGCTCGCGGCCCTGCAGCCCAGGACAGAACAGGGCGACTTGCCAGAGGTGCTCCCGTTTCCAACACCTGGAGTGCTAGGGAAGGCAGAGCGCGACGGGCAAGGAGCGGCGGACGGAGGCGCCACCGAGCGCTGGGGCACAGAGGTGGTGCAGCCAGTACGAGGGCGCTCAGCTCCAAGGCCAGGCATGGGGCTACAGGGAGGCCTGAACCCATGTAACGCCGCCATAGACGACTTTCTCTGAGGCCTGGCTTTTTCCACGGCTCCCTTGGCTGTAGAGGGGGTTATGAAAACTACGCCAAGAAGGGCAGGGTTTCCCGGTCTCTCACTGGCCTTAACTTTCCCCACAGGTTCTCTGGGTTGTGGTGGTCCGGGACTCTCAAGTGGCATTCTCCCAGCCCTCAGTTCTGAAGACCGTGGGTGAACCCCAAGCCCGGGGTCCTGTGTCCATGTTAGCATGTATATAGAGTTGTTCCAATCTCTGGCAGCCAGCATGAACAGGTGTGGAAGATTGTTCCAGAAAGGTACAAGATGTGCAAATGTTTAGGTGTAATACGGAGGTGGGAACGATTGTGAAGCCACAAGTCTCCTTGCTTTCTGGTGGGTGCAAAGAAAAGGAGGATAGGCGTCATCCCTGCAGTGGCTGCTTGAGAAGTGTGTGTTTTCAGGAGGTAATCAGAAAAAAGGTGATTTACCAAGGTCCTCACAGGCTTCATCTATGTACACAGTGGGGCACAAACTGTGGGATTGATGGAGGAAGAAAGTAAGTCCGGGTGGACTAGCCCAGGTGAGGGTTACTAGCCCAGGATCGTGGTCAAGGAGATGTGGTTAGATTCTGGATGCATGGTTTCAAAAGGGACAACTAAATTATGTAATGTAGGTGGCCAGGGAGTGAAACAGGATTCAGAGAAGACCCCAGGGTTGTTGGTATTAGCAGCTGAAGGGAAAGACGTTTCATCAACTAAGATGATGAACACATTGGCAATAGGAGTAATATTCACTGGGGATATCAGGTTTATTTGGGCCATGCTAAGAGTCAGATCTTTCAGACCCTCCTAAATGGAGGTGTTAAGTGGGCAGATGAACACACAGGTCTTGAAATCGAGGGAGTGGTTCAGAACATAGAAGTCTTGAAATCGAGGGAGTGGTTCAAGATGTGGCTGTTGTGTGCCCCAAGTTGAGTGAGCTGTGGGTCACAGTTAGGTTGAGCCAGTCCCAGGCTTTGGTTGTAAAACTGTTAGTGGGCCAAGACAGGGAGGATGATGATGGAGTAAGTGGTCATGAAGGCAGGGTATGTAAAAGACAGTGTAGTTTGGCAGGGGCCAGGGCTCCCAAGTGAAGAATGGATATGAGATGAACGCAAATGCATAGGACACTCAGGCTAGAAATCATGCTTATTTGCTACTTTGCGGGTATCCAGAATTTTGTGATAACTTGATGGGGCCTGGGTGTTTCATTCAGGCTGGAAGATTAAGTTAGTGTCATATGGTCATTTGTGAGAGTCATTGTGTATGAGATGGGCAACCAGTGAGGCTGGAATTTAAATGAGCTTTACGTGGATATATGACTGCCAAGGGGATGGTAAGTGCAGCACAGAAGTGGAATAGGACCCTGGTTATCTGTGATTCACCTGTGGTTCTCTGTGACTAAATCTGAGGCAAGGAACCTGGCAGGGAGGCCTTCAAAGAAGTTTTTGAGGCTGTTTCCACTAGTGCAAGCCATGGGAAGTCTGGGATATCGGATCCTCTTTAAATCCACACTCTGGAAGCTGCCTACCAGGTTGTGGTGTAAGGCCAGAAATTAAGGCCCAGTGTGATATGTCACCTTGACATCTGATAAAAACACTACAGCCTCAGATGGCCTGAGAGCAAATTCCCTGTCCCACTTTGCTCCCAAGAATAAGCTCTCTCAGCCAAATGAACCCTTCTTATTCAGGGAACCAGAATAGTTCCTGCTTATTACTTTGTAGCAGGTTTCAGTACCCTACCAATTTTTTGAGTAATTCAAACAAGCTAGTCCCCTCCTCTGGGGACCAGGGTAGCTTCTCCATCTTGATGCTACAAAGCTTACATTCCACAGCACCTGATTGTTCACTCTTTTCTGGAGTACTACTTCTATATGGCCCTGTGTGGAGTGTGGTATTCTTTCACAAGCTATGAGTATTTGTCTTTAATTAATAAACTGTTGATCTCATTTGTCTAGTGTCAAGTGTCTCGTGTTTGGCTGTTGGTTATCCACTGTAACCATTAGGTTATCCACTCTTTCATCCAGGTAGCATGTGTGGAGGCCAGGCTTTAGCCTGTAGTATGGGACAGTGAGGTAGTGGTGATCGTGGTCATGTGGCTGTGGGATCTGGAGACCTGAGGTATGTGCAGTGTAACGAATGATATGCACTTGGAGAGGGAGTATGCCTGATGGCCCCACTGCCCCGGTTGAGACCTACATAATCTTGGTCATACCAGAGGAATGCTTGTCAGGGAGGGGTAGTTGCCCTTATGCCATGCCCACAGCTTAGATACATGTATTTTTTTGCCTGCCTCTTGTTACTGGTGGCTGCAACCAGTGACCAAGAGGCCGATAAGGAGACAACAGCACCAGTGGACTGCTTTCTCCACTGAGTTGGGGAGCTTCAAAAGAAGATGAGCATTGGGTAAATGTGTGAGGGGATGAATTATGGATCCTGAGAGAAGGAACCATTTGTGGTTTCATCTGTCCCCATCCTGGCAGGGTATTGTGACCTTTGAGGACGTTGCTGTGTACTTCTCCTGGAAGGAATGGAGTCTCCTTGATGAGGCTCAGAAATGCCTGTACCACGATGTGATGCTGGAGAACTTGACACTTACAACCTCCCTGGGTAAGGTCCTCACACCCACTTCTGTACCCAGAGCTAGTCTCTGCTCTTACCCTTTCCTCGGGGACAGATATATCCTCACGAGAGGACTATGGACACAGCTTTCTGTTCCTGGGTAGGTGCTGTAGTTGGTAGGGCTAAGGTTGTATGTTTACCTTTTCTCCTTGAGCAGGCAACACCTGCTTCCCTTTCATGTGGAAGGATTCAGAGTTAGGCTTCTTATAGTTGGCCTTATGGATCTCACCTTGTTTGCCTCTCCCTGGCCAGGTGACTTTGTCCAGATCTTAGGTTCCTGGAGGCCCAGGTTCTATTTCCTTCCTCTAGCTAACACTTCCTCATGCCTGCCTCTGCCAGGAATTAATGCCTCTGCCAGGAATCACTGACATTGTCACTACTTATGTGGACTATGAGTGCCTCTTGCAAAATCCTTCTCTGAATTTATCTTTTGTTATTTTTTCCTGTGGGCTATCGTGTAGAGTCTTTCTGGGCTGGTCTTGGGTGCTTGCATATTTCAGGTTCCATGTTCTTGATCATAGGGGTCAGGTGGACAGGCCCTGTGGTTCCAAGGATGGCTATGATATCCCCCACAGCAAGATGGACTCAAAGGGAGCCTGGCCCTGAGCCTGACCTAAAGGAGAACATTATATCAGGGTTATGTTCAAATCATACCAGAAACATACTCTGTTTGTCTAATGTTTTGGTGCTAATGACATTTGGGGCCAAACCTCATTACTGCCTTTTCATCCCCTTTCTTGACACTTTGCCTGCTTGTCAGCTCTATACCTTGTTACTACTTCTCTTACTTCCAGCCTGGGGTTAATCCTCACATCTCTGGACTCCATGTCTCACCCATTTTTCTCACTGCTTTATCTGCAGTGCTCTCCAGTATTGGCCTCTACTTACTGTGTTATGAGGTGTCCACATATGTCAGCTACTATTTTGTTGGCACATTTTCTTGGGCCTGGATACATACTTGTATACAAGGCACGTGTTAGCAGGGGAGCAGATCTCACTGAAAATTGTCCTAGAGGAATGAGTTGTACATCCTGTCTCTTCTCCATGTTTCTCATCCCATAGTTGTGTTTTCTAACTCATTAGGCCTCCCCAATTCTGTGATCTTTAGAGGCCCAATTTTGCTAGGCAGCCCCATCTTCAACTTGAACCCAACACCTTGGTCCTGAAAACAACCCCATTGACTCAGTTCCTGGGTTTGTTGAATGCACATTGTCTATGGGCTACCCCCTCTCCATTAAAATCAGCATGCTCTTCACCAACCTTTCCTTTCTTTCAGGTGGTTGTGGAACAGAGGATGAGGAGGCACCTTATCAGCAGAGCACTTCTCCACAGCAGGTGTCACAGGTTAGGATTCCTAAGGCCCTTCCTTCTCCCCAGAAGACCAACTCCTGTGAGATATGTGGCCCAGTCTTGAGAGAGATTTTGCACTTGGTTGAGTACCAGGGAACACCCCATGGTCAGAAACTGTACACAGATGGGACATGCAGGAAACAATTACAATTTACTGCATACCTTCATCAGCACCAGAAGGAGCATGTTGGACAGAAACACTTCAGAAGCAATGTGGGCAGAGAGATGTTTTTGAACAGCTACACATTTCAAGTATCTGGGAAGCCATTCACTTGCAAGGAAGTTGGGAAGGATTTCCTGGCGAGATCAAGATTTCTGCAGCAACAGGCTACTCACACCAGAAAGAAGTCAAACAGAACCAACAGTGCAGTGGCTTTTCACAGTGTGAAAAATCATAACAACTGGGGAGAACGTATGAAAGCTTTCAGCTACAAACACGTACTTATTCAGCACCAGGGAGACCTCAGTAGGGAAAGATGTTACATGTGCAGTGAATGTGGGAAATCTTTTAGCACAAGCTGTAGCCTCAGTGATCATTTGAGAGTTCACACAGAAAACCCTTATACATGTGAGGAATGTGGGAAATCCTATAGGCAAAGCTCTAGCCTTATTACACACCGAAGAGTTCACACTGGAGTAAGACCTCATCAATGTGATGAATGTGGAAAATTATTTAGAAGGAAGTATGACCTTATTATACATCAGAGAGTTCATACTGGAGAAAGGCCTTACAAGTGCAGTGAATGTGGGAAATCCTTTAGCCATAGCTCTAGCCTCATTACACACCAGAGAATTCATACTGGAATGAGGCCTTATGAGTGCAGTGAGTGTGGGAAATCCTTTATCCATAGTTCTAGCCTTATTACTCACCAGAGAGTTCACACTGGTACAAGGCCTTATATGTGCAGCGAATGTGGGAAATCCTTTAGCCAAAGCTGTCATCTCATTAAACACCGGAGACTTCACATTGGAGAAGGGCCTTATGAGTGTAGTGAATGTGGGAAATTGTTTACTTACAGATCTCGTTTCTTCCAACACCAGAGAGTTCATGCTGGTGTAAGAGCTCATGAATGTCATGAATGTGGAAAATTATTTAGCAGGAAATTTGACCTCATTGTTCATCAGAGAGTTCACACAGGTGAAAGGCCATATGAGTGCAGTGAATGTGGAAAATCCTTTACCTGTAAATCCTATCTCATTGCACATTGGAAAGTTCATACTGGGTCAAGGCCTTATGAATGTGGGGAATGTGGGAAATCATTTACCCATAGCTCTACACTCCTTCAACACCAGAGAGTTCACACTGGAGAAAGGCCTTATGAGTGCAAGGAATGTGGGAAATTTTTTAGCCAGAGCTCCAGCCTCATTAGACATAGGAGAAATCACACCGGAGAAAAGCCTTATGAGTGCAGTGAGTGTCAGAAATCCTTTAGTAACCGCTCTAGCCTTGTTAAACACCAAAGAATTCACACTGGAGAAAGGCCTTATGAATGCAGTGAATGTGGAAAATCCTTTAGCCAGAGCTCTAACCTCAGTAATCACCAGCGAGTTCACAGTGGGGAAAGGCCTTATGAGTGTAGTGACTGTGGAAAATCTTTTACCTTCAACTCCAATCTCCTAAAACACCAGAATGTTCACAAGGGATAAAGGTTAGGTAACACACAGAGGGCTATTAGGGACAGAGAAGCGTCCCTGCAAAATTCGTAGAGAAAGATTAAATAAATAAATGTATGAATTTTCAGTAACCATGCTTTATATTTAGTATATGTTCTCTGAATTTTGTTTTATACAAATACATTTATATGTGTACTTTGTCTCTCTTATATGCACACATAAAAATAAATGGTTTCTTTAACATTTCTTTCTTTTCTTTTTTTTAACTTGCTCCCCCTCCTTTATTTTTTTTTTAACAAACTCTCGTTCTGTTGCCAAGCTGGAGTGCAGTGGCGCGATCTTGGCTCACTGCAACCTCCGCCTCCTGGTTTCAGGTGATTCTCCTGCTTCAGCCTCCCAAATAGCTGGGATTACAGGTACGCACTGCCATGCCTGGCCAATTTTTTGTGTTTGTAGTGGAGACAGGGTTTCACTATGTTGGCCAGGCTGGTCTTGAACTACTCACCTCATGGTCTGCCCGCCTCAGTCTCCCAAAGTGCTGGGATTACAGATGTGAGCCTCCACGCTGGACCATTTCTTTGTTTTTAAATGGACAAATTGTAATTGTACATGTCCGTGGAGTAATAGCGATGTTTTGATACCTATAATGTAGAGTGATCAGGGTAATTAGTATATCTATCATCTCAAACATTCGCCATTCCTTTATGTTGGGAACATTCAATCTCAATTTCTATGTATTATTAACTTTAGTTCTGTAGTGGTATAGAACACTAGAATTTATTTCTCTGTCTAGTTGTAATTTTATATCCTTTAACAAACCTTTATCCCTGCCTACCCACTACCCTTTTCACCCTCCAGTATCCTCTGTTCTACCTTTTACTTCTAAGAGAGAAACTTTTTTTTTTTTTTTTTTTTTTTTTTTTTTTTGTTTTTTTTTTTTTTTTTTTTTTTTTTTTTTTTTTTTTTTTTGAGACTGAGTCTTGCCCTGTCTCTCAGGTTAACTTTTATTTTTTCAGTGCTTCCACATATGAGTGAGAATGTGCATGTTTCTGTTCCTGGCTTATTTCACTTAACTAATGTCCTCCATTTCCATCCGTGTTGCCTCAGGTGACAGGATTTCATTCTGTTCTTTGAATAGTGTTCCCTTGTGTGTATAAATCACATTTTCTTTAACCATTTATATATTGTTGGACATCTAGGTTGATTCCATATTTTAGCTGTTGTAGATAGTGAGTAAAGGGTTGTAGATGTCTCTCCAATGTGATGATTTTCTTTCCTTTGGATAAATTCTCGGTAGTGGGATTGCTGGATGATGTGGTAGTTCTATTTATAGCTTTTTGTTTGTTTCATTTTGTTTTTTGAGATGGAGTCTTGCTCTGTCACCCATGCTGGAATACAGTGGTGTGATCTCAGCTCACTGCAATCTTCGCCTCCTGGATTCAAGCGATTCTCCTGCCTCAGCCTCTTGAGTAGCTGGGATTACAGGCGCACACCTGTATTTTTGTATTTTTTGTATTTTTGTATTCTTAGTAGAGACAGCGTTTCACCATGTTGGTCAGGCTGGTCTCGAACTCCTGACCTTGTGGTCCACCCATCACAGCCTCCCAAAGTCCTGGGATTACAGGCATGAGCCACTGTGTCCAGCTCATGACACAGGACCTCAATACTGTTCTCTATATTAGCTTTATTAGTTTGCATTTGCACCAACAGTGTATGAGTTCCCTTTTCTCTGCATCGTTGCCAGCATCTGTTTTTGTCTTTTTGATGATATCTATCCTAAACAGGGAGAAGTGATACCTCATTGCAATTTTGATTTGCATTTCCCAGATCATTAGTGATGAGTGTGTTTTATATATTTTTTTATTTTTTTTAATATATTTTGGAGACTGGATCTTGCTATGTTGCCCAGGCTGGAATGCAGTGGCTCTTCACAGGTGCAGTCCCACTACTGATCAGCATGTGAGTTTTGACCTGCTTCATTTCCGACCTGGGCAGGTTCACCCCTCAGGCAACCTGGTGGTCCCCCGCTCCTGGGAGGTCACCATATTCATGCCGAACTTAGTGCAGACACCTGATTGGCATAGTGCACTACAGCCCAGCACTCCAGGGCTCAAGCAATCCTCCCACCTCGACTTCCCAAGTATCTGGGACTACAGGCACGTGCCAGCACGCCTGGCTTTGGCTATCTTTATGTTGTCTTTTGAAAAACGCCTGTTCAGGTCATTTGACATTTTTAAATTGGATTTTTTTTTTTTTTTTTTTTTTTTTTTTTTTTTT